ACAAATTTCAAAAATCTATTATACATAGTACATACGTATGGGTTAATTTTTATTTTATAACTAAATACCACTTTCCAATTTACAATTTCAAAAAAATAAATTACAAATTTTCATCACCTACTTTCGCCCTTACGGAATAAATTTTGTAATTTTTTGTAAAATTGCTAAAACGCGTGTATATTTAATTGAATTGAATATCATTAATAAAGTTTCAAGTTATTATGATCATAATTTTTTCCCATAGTATACACATTACAACCTCTTTTTAACCTTTCGAAAAATTCTAAAACATATTTTTATTTAATTATACTAAAGAGCGTTCATGTAAATTTTGATGTAATTCTGATCATAAACAATTTTTCCCCATATAAACTTTATCACCCCCTTTCACCCCTTTAAGAGACGAATTTATAAAAAAATTATACGTATTCTCTCAATTTTTATTTTAAAGCTGAATATTACTTTTTCATTCATTTCATATGAAAAATGATAGACTTTCATTTGTTGCCGGATTTTACCTCAAACAAATGAAATTTTTGGGAGAGGACTACATCCAGCAGTGGGCGTCTTTCTGCTGATGACTTAACTGATTGGAAAATATTTAAAAAACTACGTTGTTTTCTTGGTTGTTTAATAAGAAAATTTAATCTATCACGTTCATAAAATAAAATTTATAAACCTTTTTTAGTCACAATATTAATAAAATTTTATTTACGGTTAACATAAATCTTACTTTAATTACAAGCCTTTAACTTAAAACCAGGAAGTGTTATTTAAAAAATGGTGGAGGCACCAATGATGAATTTTTGATACGAAAATTGAAATATTTATTACCCAAAAGCAGTTTTTAATTAAAACATAAATATACATGTAAATATGTACAAAGAACCTATTCAAAATGATAATTATCAATAAAATGAAACATTTACATTCCTATAATATCAATATAATGACTAAAAACCTTATATTAATGACGGCTTAATATCATTGCGAGATATAAAAACAAATAAAAACAATATCTATAAATATTTTTAAGTACCTAAGTGAAAATTTCGGGTACGTTAGCTATTGTATCAACCACAGAACTTCTAATAATTAAAAGTTTGTGGTTTATACAAACACGCTGTTAACGTTGTCCTAACGCGCTTCACCGATGATGGCACGACGCGACGGTCAGTTCTATTTGATACAGGTCATGTTCCTAAATACTTATCCTACTAATATTAATAATAATAATAATAATAATAATAATAAATTTTATTTCAAGTAACCTAAGACTCATATTTTGTTAGTATACAAGGTGCTTATATTCTATGTTAGTACTTACACTCTAGATACATTTTAAATAGATATACTTTTACATTCACATATATACATTACTAACAAGAAATAGCACAGCAGTGGTTAACATATCTACAATCCAGCCTACTGGCAATTACCCTCATGATGCTGTTGGTACTACCCCGTAATCTATCCACCAGGGACCCACATCTTTTGCGCATCGTGGCATAGAAACAATTTATCCTCGCTGCTGCGAACATCCCTGATGCACTACAAAAGCGGGGCAATCCCAACAGCACCCTAAAGGCATTATTATATTGAACACGAAGCGCGTTATATGATTTTTGAGAGTACTTAGCCCACAGGTTGCACGTGTAAAAAGTTGTACAATATGCTCTGAACAAGGTGAGTTTAACACTATATGAACAACGTGCAAACCTACGGGCCAGCATATTCGCTCTCACTGACAACGCCCTTCGTTCCCTCTCTATATCCGTGTCGTCTTTGAGGTCGGGGGTCAATATATGTCCTAGGTATTTAAATTTAGACACCATTTCTAAAGTTACACCATTAAGGGTAATAGGCGGTACATTAAATTTTGATTTACCCTCGGCCTCAAAGACCATCACTACACTTTTTTTCGTATTGTAGATCAGTCCATGTCTTTCTACATAAGCCTCGCACACGGCCACTAGCTTCCTAAGGCCACAAATTGATGCACTCAACAGCACCATGTCATCAGCGTAGCTAATATTGTTTACACAAACACCATCCACGTAACAGCCGACCCTGGTACTGCTGAGCTCAGCGATCAAATCGTCCACGTAAAGATTGAAAAGCGTTGGTGAACTCAATCCCCCCTGTCTCACCCCGCACTCCAGCCCATACGGCCTTGATAAGGCTCCTGCCCATCGTACGTTGTTGACCTGGTTTCTGTACCAATATTTAAATATGTTGGTAAGTTCTAATGGGATATTTAGTTCATTCATCTTTTTCCATAGTATATCATAAGAAACCAGGTCAAAAGCTTTGGACAAATCTAAGAAGCAAGCATAAATGGGAGTCTTACGCTTTGTGTAGTAATTGACAGTATGCTTAAGACCTAATATAGCGCTCTCCGTAGACAAACCAGGTCGAAAACCGAATTGGTTATCATGAGGTTTTATGTAAATATTTAATAGCTGATTAAGCATACTGTCAAATACCTTCGATATAACCGTAGCCAGAGAGATAGGCCTATAGTTATTTTTATCCGTTAGGTTACCCGTTTTGTTTTTCACAATAGGCACGACTATCGTACGTATCATTTCACTCGGCATAAAACTATGACTTACACATAGATTGTAAAGCATCGATAGAACTCTGGGAACTAATATTAATAATGCGAAAATTTGTGAGTATGTGTGGATGTCTGGATGTATACATGTATGGATGTTTGTTACTCTTTCACGCAAAAACTACTGAATGTATTTTAATTAAACTTTACAATAATATCATCAAAATAGCATATAGGCTACTTTTTATCCCGGAAAAATGTACGGTTCCCGTGGGATAGTTTTGTTTTTTTTCCCGAGCAAAGCGAGAGCGAGCCTCTAGTAAACCATTTTATATTCCACTTATAAATTCTCATTGGAATAAAACAAGGTAAAGTGGTCAATTTCGTGAAAGTATTGCTCAGTCCATTTTCTAGGTCTATGGGAAAACCACAGATGGATAGATTATTAGGTCCCCAGTAAACCATTTTAAGTAAGGGCCGCTCCACACTATAGTGCCGATCACAGTCCGTTCTCAGTCCGATATCGGTCCGGAACGTGAGTCTTACTGATAGCGTGAATGTACTCATTGTTTCTTGTGTAACAATACTTTACCCTACTTACTTTCACCGATATCGGACCGAGAGTGAACCATGATCGGCACTATAGTGTGAAGCGGCTCTAATGGTTCTAGTTGGTAATGAATGTAAAGTTTTTGATATGACAACATCAAGTATGTGTTTGATATATTTGTTGTACGTTAATTATTTTTGTAATTCTTTCTGAACATTATCTATCATCTAAAATATATTGTTCAAACGGTACGCGCCCAAAATGGACATCAAATATTTGAATAATTTATCTTAATTTTAATAATCCTTTTTAAATAAAACTATCTTTTCGGATTTTTTCGCGAATTTATTTTGATTTTTGGTTCCCGACGTTTCGAATGCTTTACAGCAGTCATGGTCACGGGAGAGACTGATTGCTGTAAAGCATTAGAAACGTCGGGAACCAAAAATCGAAATAAATTCGCGAAAAGATCCGAAAAGATAGTTTTATTTAAAATGTCAAGTATTCGCGTAAATCTATGAAAGTATTTAATAATTCTGTCCAAATTTCTATAAAGTTTCTTATCATCAGTTTATTATGTTGTTAACAAGTCATGGTGTGACACTATTTAAATTAACTGAATTATAATTGAATGTGTATATGTAAAATTTCGTATCTATTCTGTTAACTCATGAGGAAATCTCTCATAGCCTAGGTGCAACAGCAACCCCCCCCCAACGTGCGTTCACCTTGTCGTGGTGGGGGGGCTCAGTAGTGCCCGGCAATCCAACCGGGCGCGAAACTAAGAAACGCACAGGGAGGTTGCCCACTTCGGTGGGCGGTGGGAGGTGGCCCTCTTCGGGGGGCGGTGTACCATGCGGGTTGCTCCTGGTACTTCTCTGATAGCAGAGTGGACTGTGGAGCAACCCCATGGTTGTGGTGGTCTGCTTTGGCAGACCTGCCGTCGGGGCGTCGTAGTTGAATGCGTAAGCGATCCTGCGACGCCCCATTAAGACGGGGGAAGGTTTTGTTGGGTTTTAATGGGTAGTACTGGCTGTATTACGCCGGTGAGTCCCACACGTCGTGCGTAAATGCATTTCCCAACGTTAAAAAAAATAAAATAAAAGGTGCAACAGCAACGCCATGGTAGACTTTAGAACTGGCTTTAGAAATTTCGCATCCGTGCTGTTGACCGCTGAGGAGATCTCTCATTACGTGACTCCATATTTTGGACACAGCAGCCAAGTCAAAGTGGATTTTATGTACAAGGGGCTATAATATATAATTGAATGAGTAATAACCTCCTAGCGCCCAAGGATAATTTAAGGAGAGTAGCTTAAGCACCCAATGTTTTTCTACAAGTACATAATTAAGTATAGTGCTTGCAGCCCAAACATAAAAGAGTCATAAAAACAAGGTGAGTACAGTGAATTTTTCAACGCAATTTTTTTTGAATAGAATATATTTTTGCTATCAGAAACTTAAAAAAAATGTCCATGCCGAAGAACATCGGGCTGCTATCCTTAGAGGAGGTATATTCTTTATGTATTATGGTAAGCACATTGGGCTATTACGTAAATAAAAGCACTGAATAGAAATTATTGTATTTATTGTGAATATTTCGCACAGTTTTATTATACAAATCAATCAGTAGATACAAATCAATCACTAGTTCAGTCTCAATATTTTTTGGCTTGGCTTACCACTACAAAAAAATATTTTATCATTTTATGACAAAAAATTACAAAAACTCTACCTCTTTGTAAATAAAGTAAATTAAAATTTTACCAGTACTCAAAGCATTCAATTAATAACAGAATTTATGTTTTTAACTGTTAAGAAAAATGTAGTTTTTTCATACATAACAAAACAAAAACTTTTATCAAATACAGTAAACATTTTTTTTTTAAATTAATCTGAGATCAAATTAGGAACCCCATAAATTTTATCTTTGGACCAATCACCATCTTCACTCTCGTTGTCGTTGTCGCTTGAGCTGGACGGTATATTTTCTAGTGAACCCACAAAAGGAGGATCGTCTAGATCTTCTTCGAATAGCAAATAATCTTCTAAGTCTGTTTTTTTTAACAATTTTACAATGTCTTCCGATTGCAACTCTTAAAAAATAAAGTATGCCTTATAGACCAATGTTCTTCCATAAGAACATAAAATTACGGAACATACGCTCGCTGTTCTAACACGAGTACATAGTGCTCAAGAGTGAAAAATAAACACTTTTTCAAAGGAATTTTTCAAGAATATTAAGACCTACGTGCAATTTAGTATTCTAAATTACATACTTACTTTAAAACTTATTAGTTACTTGATTACATGCATAATTAGACATTAAAACTTACCTTTACCAAGTCTGCGCTCCATGTTCGCCATTTTGATTACTAATGACAAGTTTTTTCTGATTAGATTAGCTTAGTGTCGTATGATTATGGTCACTTACATGTTCACCAATCAAAGAGCATTAGAAAAATAAAACCATGCGCGACAAAATTTAAAAATATTAAACAATAACTATTATGTTCTTGTGTAAGTCCACTGGGCCGTCAAGAACATGTTGTATCATATTTATCTGGGCGGTAATCAGGTTCGATATTATGTCCTAGTCCGAGGTCATTGGGCCTCACGAGGATAAGTATATAAAATTTTGTCTAAAAGTACGTTAGCCATTAAGGAATTCATTCTAACGTCATCGTCTTCGTCAGCTTAACGGCTTCGTCTGGAACCAATCCTAGATGGAGAATGAGGTTATAATTGTCATAAAACGTCATTTTCATCAGAACTGTACTAATGTAAAATTTCAAATCCGTAAGATAAAAGGAAGTGGTTCTATTTCAGCTTGCAAGATTTGATCTATAGGTACAAACATGCCATCTAACAAACATTCCAAGTCAAAAAAAAGCTCGTAAAAATTAATAAAAGTTATACAAGTGTCATAAAATGCTACACATTTTTACATAAATCTAGTCAAGAAAAAAATGTATGTTAATATTGATATGATCTTTAAATAATAACATTGTCTTCACGCACGTGTTTTACTTTGAAAAAATAATAATTTGTAAATTATAAGTGTGTGTTTTCTGGGATGCAAATTTTCAAAATGGTCTATTACGGTTCAATGCCCTACAAGTGATTATAGATAGATTATGGCAGTTTATCAAGATCTACCGATATTATTTTTTGAACAGTATTTCAATAAGCACTTGTATTATTGACGCAACTAATTAATTTATTATCTTGTACAAAAGTAGATAATAATTTTTTTATTATTTTTTTTCCTTAGCATATTTTTTTACAATTACTTTATTTTAATATCATTTAAAAATCTCTTTTTCAGTAAATATTTAGATAAACATAAGTCTGTATTTTTATTTATATTTTTTGTGGGTTTTTTTCTTAATATTCTGTCCACATTTTTTCGTTATATTTTCAACCGTCTTCTTCAAAAAGGAAGAGATTCTGAATTCGTCGGAATCTTTTTTTTTAATGTCAAGATGTTATGTTATCGTCACAACCGGTATGAGGCAACAGTTAGATGTAAAAAATGTATATAATGTTTTTATATTTGTTGAGATTGGCCTACACCTTTATTTACGAAATGCCTGTAGTGTACCTACGTGCGCAGAAAATCATAGTAAGAATCAGGTTGGGCATTGTGTGCAAAACTGATAAAGCGACCCAGATATCAGTTATCATTTCCGTAACTACGTAATTATTCGGTTTATGGGTGATAAAAATGTTATAGCCTTATCAGCGATTATCCATGCAGAGATTGTCTTCTGCTTGTTACAATGCTTGGCAGCTTTAAAAGAAAGTGATAAATGTTATTTCTATAGAGCAGATATGTTATTTGATTTAATTTTTGCAAGTAGAGTTAGATGGCGGACTACCTACGATGAGCTAACAAGTGTTTGAATAAGGAGTATCAAATTATAATTCGAAAACAGATGCCAAACGCTAAAGTATGCAAGCTAAATGGAAGCTTGTAAAAATAATGGATGCGTATTGATTTAATTTGTTTACGTGATAACTTTGTCTTGCACCATAGGATAAAAAATATAAGTATACAAAAAGCAGAATCCGAATCTGTGACTGATGCTTTAGCAATCAAGAATGCTACTATCAACCCACTCCACTTAAACTCAGAAAAAATATTAAATTGTTATATCTATAATCTACTATAGGTAATTTTGATTGTAACCCGATTAAATATATTATGTATATTAATAGTGTATATATTATCAGTAAACAAGCCTCTAATGTTTTGCAACTGACAAAGAGGTCTATATGAGCAGTTAGTTTGCAAATAATCATTGTGAAGCATGTATTAAACATATATTTTTTTTGTATTTTACGGAAAATGATAGATAATTTGTGTTTGTTAATCGCAATTATTGCTATCACGTATCTTTGGAAGAAGATAAGAAGCAGTGAACCTAACAAAGTTAAATTCTATTCAAACTTTTTTATATTTTATTTTTATGGATCTTTGCTAGCAAGCTTAGTTTGGCCTTTATTTTTGTTTAGGCCAAGAAATGTTGACAATGCCGAGTAAGTTCGTCTCATGTAATCTTAATATCTTTAAATAAAATATTTTAGTATTGTTCTTCAATTAGAATTTAATTTCGTTAAAATATCGTGACAAGACGTACGTAACCTTTGTTACTCAAGTTCACTTGATGTTTATAAATTCTGAGAATAATATTAGCTATTAATAGGTTCATAAATTGTGATAACATATAATTATTTAATTAATCTTGCTTTTATACGTATTGAGGGTTTAACTATAAGAAGATAAGCAATAATTAACACTCAAAGTTAATGTATTATTAAATATCAAGGGACCATAATAAAATAATCGTTTTATAAGTATTTGAATTTTAATTGTTAAGTGTTTATAAAGAGAAATATGTAAATATAGACCTGTGTCTGAGGAAAAATAAATAAATAAATAAATAAAAATAAATTATTTCTTACCAGATTCGGAGCATGGCTCATAAAACCAGTAACTAAAATATTGAACATAAAATGGCATCTGCGCAACGGTGAAATATTGTCAAAAAAGGAAGGAGCTGTTATTGTTTCTAACCATCAGTCATCACTTGATGTTTTAGGTATATTTACTACACTACTTAAAAATATCTTCTATTTAGCCTAAGACTAAGAGACAGCCTTTAAACTGAATTTTAAACTGAAAATTTCTTCCATAATAAAGGCTCATAATGAAAGTACCATAGTACAATGTACCACTTAACACACTATTACATACTAAAAGTTTGATTTCTACTCATCATCAATCATTTTTTACATCACGTAAATAATAAATATTGTTATTAGTACCTATAGGTTTCTATAAATAATATAATTTCAACAAACGCTTTATAATCGATGAAATTAAAATGCCAGTCAAAGATGCTTAAAAATACTTACATCTTTAAAAACTTTAATTTTGATCTTTATATATAGGTTTTGCATAAACACAACTCATACTTAAGCGTTTTTTAGGACTATTTAATATTTGGGATAACATAGGTAAGTTAGCGCCAATAGCAAAGAAGGAGGTGTTTTACGTTTGGCCATTCGGTTTAGCTGCATATCTTGCTGGAGTGGTATTTATAAATCGAAACAATGCAAAAGGTGCATATAAACAACTTAAAATTACATCAGAAGTTATGGTCAAAAATAAGGTATTCCTCAAATTTAGCATCAACCTTCATATTATATAAATTATTTTATGCTTATATAGTGAAGTCCCTTTTTATTTGAATTTGAACTAAATAGTTTATAATATCTTAACTGTGATGATGGGTGTATTAGACCTAAAGTTTTATTGATAAACCCTAAATTCATAAAAAAAAATACAAAATAGTCTGACTAAGACTGTGTTCTTAAAATTTCAAAATCATAATAAAATATTATTTTCAGACAAAGATATGGTTGTTCCCTGAAGGAACTAGAAATAAAGATTGCAGTCAGCTGTTGCCATTTAAGAAAGGTGCATTTGCAATCGCTGTCGCTGCTCAGAGACCGATTATTCCCGTAGTCTTCTCTCCATACTATTTCATTGATAAAAAAAAGTATATCTTCAATAAAGGTTAGTTCACTTTAATGTGGGAAGATAAATCATCATCACCAAAGAGATTGTTGTTTTAGTCAGTGCTACTAAACAGAGAAAGAATAGATAGATATAGATAGTTTAACAAATCGACGTGATTCTTTAAATCGGCATAACTTTTTTATTTATGAACCGATTGACATGAAACAAACACTACATGTTAAGTGAAAACCCCATCTAAATCGCATAAGCCATTTCTGAGATTAGGGCGCAGAAACGCACAGACAGACAGACAAAAATGCTAACAATCATAGTTTTGGATGCTATTTGCATTCATAAAGGTCCCAATAATATTTTTTCTCGTATAGGTATCCTCCATGTACAGACAACGATTCGTTACATTTTTATTATATGTATAGATGGAGTCGTTATCGTTATGCACTCTTTTAATTGTGTAGTTATATTTTTTTATTTAGTACTAATTTTATTTATTTCAATATGTTTCATTAAAAAAATAACCTGCTTTTTTTTCGTCAATATTATCAAATTGTACTTTTTCTTAGAAAATAAAATAAATATAACAAGGACTACTCTGTGTAGCATTCATTCTGCCTATCTCCCAAAGGCTTGGTTTTGAAAAACAAATTTAAAAATCTATGGTTTTATATAAATTATAAAGGTATAGGTAAAAAAAAATGTGCACATAAATTCCATTACTCGTCGTTCAAAATTCCTAAATATTTTCCAACTTTATTTGGAGAATATTCGATATTCACTTAATTATATATTTCATAGATAATGATAGATTAGGTTATTTATCTTTAAATAGCATTGCCCGCGGCTTCGCCCGCGTTCAGATGACCAAAAACCAAATTCTTAGGTGTTACATATTTTAGTATACTCTTACATTGAGTTTTTGTATTTTTTTCTCAGAAATGAGATATTTTCCCGCGGTAAAAGTATCTGGATAAGCAGCTATCACCATACAAAATTTCATCAAAATCCCTCCAGTGTTGTTTCTGTGATGCGATGCGACAGACCAAAAATCTAAAAACTAGATTCGACCTCTGTATCGATAATAATGTTTATTTCAATAAGATTTTCCAAAAAATATCTAATGTACAGATTCGGCTTAGTTACAATTTTATTTAATGTATAGATATGTCTACATTTTAGTTCTAATCTTTTTACAGGACATATAATTATTCAATGTATGGAGCCAGTATCAACAGAGGGATTAACAATGGATGACTTGCCAGAGCTCGTAGAACAAATAAAGAATGATATGGAGAAAACCTACAAAGAACTTTCGAAAGAAGTTTTCAGTAATTTAGTACCCGAAAACTCAAATTTTATAGACCACAATAATGCTAATGGATAAATCAAAGTACTTAAAAGGATTTTTTTTCTATTGAAATTGAAATTATTGAAATTAATTTACTATTAAAAAACGTAGTAAACGGAAAACAAAAGACATGCTTGTATTACATATGAACTGATTAGAGATCAATATTATTGCAACAATTTTGAAATGTTGGTAGTAGATACTGAATTACTGACTACGTACTCCTGTATTTGATAATATTTTATTTAAAAATAAAAAATAAGCTATATTATATTTGAAGCATATTATTATTCTTATATATGACGAAGCTGTACCTACCTACTTATATATTCTTTTCTAAATCTGCGGATGTACTAAGTGTCTACAACGTTTGACAACTTTTATACTGTAGTGTCTAACTTATTTGAAATATTTAATTTTATTAACTTACATAGGTATATACATAAATTCCATGAGGTATTCATTGCTTATTAAGGGGTCAATATAAAATTATTAAACTAAATCCTGTATCAGATATAAATTTTGCCCACCTTACCAGACAACCAGCATTTGTTTAGTAGTTGTTTATTAGTTCTCATAAATATTTTATAGCTAGTGTTTAGGTAATTAATAATTTATTTAATGTAAATGTAAATTCTTAGAATACACCAATTCATTTTATTTAAAATATCAAGTATTCATGTAAATCTGAGAAAGTAGTAAATTATGGATTTAAATTAATATTGAGATAAATACTTTACTACACATTGAGTAAAATACTGGATTTAATTTTTTTGAATTATCGAATATTATGTACAGTATGTACACCACTAGGTATAGACATAGACTCATGTGATACAGAACTACATCGAACTACTATAAACTTCAGATTTAGTATGGAACTGTTTGTTTTTAATTCCTTCATACTAAAATGGCTGATAAATGACTGTGATATGGACTAATACATGGGTTATCTTTATTTCATAGTCTTAAGCTAAGGTATATGAGTTTGGTTTGAAATAAAGATAAGTAACTTTGATAATTTTTTTAACAATAATAAGTCATACCTAAGAAATCAAGGGACGACTGATGGTTTGAAATAATAACATTTGAAATAGTAACCCTCAAGAGCTAGCAAAGAGCTACTTTCCGAAATGCTTGAAAAAAATATATGTGAATCATCAACTATTAAACAATATTTTCATTTAAACATTTTTATCGTGGGACGAAAATATCTATTACTTTTTTATTTCAAAGAAATGGTATTTTTTGACTTGCCTTTCCTACTGTTTCTAAACGGCTAAGAATTTTGGAATCATTTAAATACTAAAAAATAAAATATCTATTTTACTTTATGCCCCACAAAAAATTTTGTAAATCAATTACTATATTCCTATTTTAAAAGTCGAAAATGCTATTTACAAGCCTAGAAGCTATAGAGGTGCTCTGCGCGGGCGCAGGCGGCACTGCCCCCGCGGCCCGCGACAGTCGCGCGCTGGCGCTCAGACGGGAGGGTTGTATCACTTTGTGTCTCCAGCTATCGACTATTATTTCACGATGTATTTACGCATGTATTGTTTATATACACAAGTATTTTTGTTTGTGTGCGTGCATAGAATAATCGCTCGCAGACAGATAAATATGTAGTAAAGTACGCGCTTGGACACCGTAGAATATTTTAACTAGTTTAATGTAAAAATTAAGTTCTATGAAGGTATAGTTAGTGTTATTTTTATATATACATATAATAAAATTGTAACTAAGCCAAATCTGTATGTATATTCAATATTTTTTGGAGAATCTTATTGAAATAAACATTATTATCGATACAGAGGCCGAATCTATAGTTTTTAGATTTTTTGTGTCTGTCTGTCTGTTACCGCATCACGGGAAAATCACTGGATAGATTTTGATGAAATCTGGTATGATGATAGCTGGTTATCCGGGTAAACATAAAAAAAAAGCATACTTTTTACCGCGGGAAAATGTCAGAAGTTTAATTTCATCTGCCTACTGGAGTTTTTTTCCAGTTTTGTGATTTCAAATATTATATCTTTTATTTAAAAAATATTATTAGTAGATTTAATTTAAAAATCTCTTTGTTGGTTGTTGAGTGACGAGAAAGCACAAATAAAAGATTACGTCACTAATAAAATTATAATGAAAAATTCAACACACACTTAAAACAGTACAGAAGGAAAGTTTAGGGAAATACACAATGACACAAAGAGTTTCAGTACAAACATAAAAAGTCCACATACAATATCTTACGAAAACGATTAAATTATATTAAACAAGTAATTGACATCGAACGGCAAAGCGTAGACTGTTTGTTGACCCTGTTTTTCACCCTGTTTGTTCACCCTTATAAAGTTGAGATGGAAAAATATTTGCGCCTCGACTAAGACGTACGTAAAGCTTTATTGTTAAATTTAATAGTATACAGTATACAAAATCCCCATTCGGATAAAAAGTTTAGTTAAAAATACTTTATTTTTTGAAATAAAAATAATTTAAAATTAAAATAATTTAATTCCAGATTACAAAATTATTAGTTAAAAAATGATAAGTTAATAAATAGTCACCATGAACGAATACAATTCGTCCATGATAGTCACTAACCAAAAATTGAAGTTTAATTAAATATAATCAAATAACTAATAAGTTATAAATATGATCTGTTAAAATACAATGTAAAAAATTATTAATTAAGAGTAATCATAATTTAAAATTATAGAAAAGCATGTATAGAATAAATAAAGTTTTATTATTATTATTATTTCTTATTGCATTATTCCACGCAAAATATTATGTTCGATAATTTCGCACGCTCGCATATAAGCATCGCGTTCAAGCGGCCAAGGTGCAAGATCATCAATCTCAGGTGACCAGGTTCGAATCTCGGTCGCATACAAAGTTCTACTTTTATTTTTAATATTTATTCAAGTTTTTAGTTTTTTTTAAAAAAAGACGCAAGATTGACTTTGCTCCTAGATTTATTTCTCAAGAACTTCAATTTTTATTTCTAAGTGTTTAAATTTCTCATTTAAGTATATTATTGTTGATTGTATTTTTAATGTCTTCTTTCATTTCTAACATTTCTGTTTTCTGCTGTCTTATTTCTTGTTGCATGTTTATTAGCAACTATTTTATGTCCTCCGTCTTAAGTGTGAAGTCGGAAGTAGAAAAGCTGATTGAAAAAGAGCACCAATTACCTATACCTTTTTTTTAACGTTGGGAAATGCATTTACGCACGACGTGTGAGACTCACCGGCGTAATACAGCCAGTACTACCCACTAAAACCCAACAAAACCTTCCCCCGTCTTAATGGGGCGTCGCAGGATCGCTTACGCATTCAACTACGACGCCCCGACGGCAGGTCTGCCGAAACAGACCACCACAACCATGGGGTTGCTCCAAGGTCCACTCTGCTATCAGAGAAGTACCAGGAGTAACCCGCATGGTACACCGCCCTCCGAAGAGGGCCACCTCCCACCGCCCACCGAAGTGGGCAACCTCCCTGTGCGTTTCTTAGCTTCACGCCCGGTTGGATTGCCGGGCACTACTGAGCCCCCCCACCACGACAAGGTGAACGCACGTTGGGGGGGACCAATTACCTATACCTAGTTGAATTGCAATTTTTACCGAGTATTAGTTTTTGAGGTTATAAACTTATGTTTTAATATTTTACGCTTTCACTTCACAAATTTATTTTGTTTTATTCTCATCACACACGGAAAAGATGGTTTTGCACTGATAGTATCTATATGTTATGTTTGTCACTTTTGTATTTGTTTGGTAGGTGAATTTTTAAAAGCTCATTTGTTCTTTAACACATCAAGAATTGGTGATGTTTACATATTGCCCATAGGTTTTATTATTTTTTTTAACACTTTTCTTTAGATTATTTCCACTATAATATTTTTAAAACTTGATATAAATACGGACACGATGTAGTGTAGACAGTTGCACAGTGGCGCCTCCCACCCACAGGAGTGACAAGTGACAACTGACAATGCAAAAATTGTGAAAATGCAAAAGAATATCGCATGAAAATTCGAAAACTCGCGTTTTTCCAGATATAAGACTAATCTAGATCGATTTGTCGCCCCGAAACCCTCCGTGTACTAAATTTCATTAAAATCGTTGGAGCCGTTTCCGAGATTCAGATTATATATATATATATATATATATATATATATATATATATATATATATATGTATATATATATATATATATATATATATATTTATTATATTTATATATATATATTAGATTATATATATATATATATATTATATATATATATATATATTATTATATTTATATATATATATTAGATTATATATATATATATATATATATATATATATATATAAGAAGTTGGTAGTTTGATTTCCTACCAATCCTAATTTGAAAGTTGGTAGATATGCCACCCATATTCGAACAAAGATAAAAAAATATTGTAAATATATTAAAAACTTACAGAACTGATTTTGATGAAATATAAAAAGACAATCAATGTTCTGCGTACAAACTTCAATAAAGCGTACCAAAGAATGGAAAAAGCTACGAGATCAGGCGCATCCAGTGAAGATATACCAGAAGCCACCTGATAGTACTTTAATATTATATTTCTATTCATTTTCATCCTTATAGTTCTATTCATAAAAGACCAGCTAGATGTAGCAGAATCTGAATCTTCTGAGGTGAATAAATCAAAAATATATTTGTACTTTTAAAAGTTTATTATTTTATTTTTTTTCCTAATGGCTAATTATTATTTTAACGTAATGGAAGTCAACTGTCAAATGTCAATGTCAAAAAGCAACTGAGCGCCAACACATTGAACACAGAATCTTTCGCACTTCAAATTTCAATAACGTAACTTTACGTAGCACAATAATGCACATTGACAATTGCGATTGATATTTGATCGTTTCGGGTCCGCTTTAGAGTTGGTAACACTGATGTCTGATGTGGGGTTAAATTAAAACAATTGCCAACTAAATTGAAATAAATTAAATTTAGTTTTCAGACATAAAACTGCGG